ACCACCCACCAATACTTTCCCCAATCATCTCACAAATAAGCCAATCTTCCAAGATTTCAAAACTGTCTTCAGGCTCCCTTAGGCTACCATACCTTTTTTTACCTTTAACTGACTAATTTGTCTCCTGATCTCCAGAGAAATTCGAAGTCTGAACAACTGCTCTAAATTATGTGCCCAACGTATACACTTAACTTATCCACTATACTTAATTCCTTCCCTCCAGACTCAGGAAAAGACTTAGTTCTACTGCTATCACCAGAAGTGCTCTGAATCCATACCTGCCCCTTTTGCCTCACCACTCTTGCAAAACTAAACTCAGAATCAATCCAGCCATATGCCCTCACTGCACTCTAACCATGGATACATTTCTTATCCTGAGCTTTCCCATCTTCAAAATGATGATATCCTTGCAAGATTTTTGTGTAAGTTTAACAGGCCTAGAGGCACTTGACCTATGGTAATCATTAAGTAAATGGTAGCGATTATAAGTATTATGTTAATAGCATAAAGGTGAAAGGAAGATGATAGGAATTGGGACACAGGACTGGGGAGCTGCAGGGGGAAAGGGGAAGGATACCAGGAAAGAGAAAATGAGAATATAATTTCCCTTGCCATAAATGTCCCAATACTCTGTTACTATATTCAGTTGCTTTGTGAATTGTGGTAATTAAATATGACTACTGTCTGCTATTCTCACCACTGTCTGGAGCCTGGAATTAACATGACCCAAGAGGAAGATTCGCTCTGGGGTCTAAGTCTCTATCAGCAGAGAAAAAATAGTGAATTTCTTTCTATTAATCTAGAATTAAAGTAATATTCATTAAAGGGAATTATAGCAATGTTTAGCCATTGAGAGTATTAAACAAAAGTATTCAATTAGGAACTCCATGACTGGGGCAGGAGCACTTCAAGATGAGGGCCTGGGACATCCTGTTGTGCCAAAAAAGCACAGAAGAGCTCAGAAACTGATGGGGTGGAAAACTGACGGGGAAATGTCAAAAAGAGACAAGAGCTGGCTTAAAGGGGCTCCCAATGGCCAAATTTGGGACAATTTGAGCATAAAAAAGAATAACGATGATAATGAATTCTAGCAGAGTGAATAAAAAAGTCCATAAAAAATTGTGTCCATGGGCCAGCCCTGTGGCTCACTCGGGTGAGTGCAGTGCTGATGGCGCCGAAGCCGCTGGTTTGGATCCTATATAGGGATGGCCAGTGTGCTCACTGGCTGAGAGTGGTGCAGACAACACTGAGCCAAGGGTTGCGATCCCCTTACTGGTCACAAACAAAACAAAAACAAACAAAAAAATTGTGTCCATATTGGTAATTAAAAAAAAAAAAGCAGGAGGGAAAAAGAGGAAAAAAGTGAAAACTTTTATGGAATATTATGCTAGCTTTTAAATGTAGAAGGAATGAAATAATTAGAAAGTCACCACTTTGCAACCTCTGAAGGTAAAGATTATCTCTGTGATGCTAAAACCTCCGGGTAAAAAGTTAATGGGTAACAGGATATCGGCATGGTCTTGAGGTATTACTCCACAGATTACATATTAATTGCAAAGGGGAAAACATACCCTTACCATGGAGAGAGCTGGCAGTCACCCTCTTAATCAAGTGATCAAACTTAGCATCAGCAATAGTTAGAACAACCTGCTATCATGTGCCTGCTGCAATGCAATAAGAAGCACATGTCATCAACCATGCACGATACCCCAAAGCATTTAAACCAAATTAATTAAGAGAAAACAATTAGACAGTCCAAAGTTTTGCTACCCAAAATGTGATCCAAAGACCAGAATCACATCACCTGGGAGCTTGTTTGAAAATACAGAATCTCAGGCCACACTCCAGACAACTAAATCAGAATTTGCATTTTAACAAGACAGTATGTGATTCATAGGTACAAAATTTGAGAAGCCTTGTACAAGACTAACCACCCAGACATTTCAAAATAGCAAATGTTATAAAAACAAAACAAAACAAAGGGCAAGGGAGACTGTTTTGGACGTAGTGGGACATAACAATCAAAAGCAATAACTGAACATGGGCCGGCCCGGTGGCGCACTGCTACAGTGCGCCGCTTGGCGTAATAACTTCGTATAGCATACATTATACGAAGTTATACGACACGAAGAAGGGCCCCATGCTTAGTTTCATGCTCCGCTGTTGCCATTTTGATGTTCTTAATCATTTTTCAACAAGGGACTGCATTATCGTTTTGTACTGGGGCCCACAAGTTATGTAGCTGGTTCCAGTACCTACTTCATGTGGTTATTGCAGGATTAATTACAATATTATATGTAGAGCACAGTGCCTGGTACCTAGTAAGCACTCAGTAAATGTTAGCCACAGTGATTGCTGTTTCCAAAGCCTTGGGTTAAACATCCAATCCAAGTGCTGGGTAAGTACAAACAGCTGCCGGTCCGGTGCGGGCGCGACACTGAGGGTTGCGATCCGTTGCCGGACACGAAAAAAGACAAAAAGGAAAAAAAAAAAAAAGCAATAACTGAACCTGACTGAATCCTGGGTTGGGAGGTGTGGGGTAGGGGTTGGGGTTATAAAATACATTTTGGAGAGACAAGTGGGAAAATCTGAATATCTAATATTTTAGGTAACACTGAATTAATGTTAGTTTTCTTAAAATGTGAGAATGGTATATAGTTACATAGAATCTTCTTGTAAGATGCATAACAAAATTTTTAAGGTAATGTGTCATCATGTCTACAACTTATTTTTAATTGTTCATAAAACACACACATATATATAGAAAGCAGATGTATCACAACATTAACAGTTACTCTAGATGAAGAGTATGTAAGTGTTCATTCTCCTATTTTTTCTGTAGGTCAAAATTTTGTCAAATAAAATGATGGCCCTGTTGGCCAGCCACAGAAAAAAATGGGAAGGTGTAAAGAATTTTTAAAAATTTTTTAGATTTAGGGCCGGCCCGGTGGCGCACTGGATAGTGCGCCGCTTGGGAAGCGCGGCGGCGCTCCCGCCCGAGGGTTCGGATCCCACATGCAGACCGGCTCCCGCTCACTGGCTGAGCGAGGCGCGGGAGCAACACCAAGGTTTGCAATCCCGTTGCCGGTCCCTGGTCCGGTACGGGGGCAACACTGAGGGTTGCGATCCGTTGCCGGACACGGAAAAAAAGACAAAAAAAAAGACAAAAAAAAAAAAAAATTTTAGATTTAATTTTTTATTGTGGTAAAATATATTTAATATAAAGAATGACATTTTAAGCATTTTTAAAAATATAATTGCACGGAACTAATTACATTCACAATGCTGTGTGTGTGACCACCACCTCTATCTACTTCTAAAGCTTTTTTGTCATCTTAAACATAAACTCTGCACCCATTCAGCAATTACTTCTCATTATTCCTTCTCCCCAGTTTCTGGTAACCTGTTATCTACTTCTGTTTCTAAAATTTCTTTCTTTGTAATTTATTTTTTCTTAATTGATCCATGATAATTATATATATTTATGGAGTACAATGTGATATTTGGGTACATTTACACAGTGTGCAGTGATATCAGGGTATTTAGCATATCCATCACCTCAAACATTTGTCACTTCTTTGTGTTAGGAACATTCAAAATTCTCTCAATTAGCAAGTTATACAGTAATTTGTTGTTGACTGCAGTCTCCCTATATTGTTATAGAATACTAGATCTTATTCGGGAAGAATTTTCAATTAGCCCACAACAAAAATGATAAGTCTTTGGTAGCAAACAGCATGATTTACACAACCATGTGTTTCTCTTAACACTTAGTTAATAAGATACACATAAGTGTTCAATAGATGTTTGTTGAGAGAAAGGGAATTTATTTAATTCATACTTTAAGTGGCAGAAACTCCTAAGGTATTAAGAGCTGCCATAACCAGTCAGCTGTCAAGCATACATGGAACTACATACGGAATGCTACTGTAAGAGAGGAAGTAGACTGTAATGGCAAAGGTTCTGAGGTCAGTCAGACCTAGATTTTGTTGGTATGGTGTCCCTGGGCAGATTTAATCTTCCAAAGTCTCAATCACTCTACCTGTAGAATAAAAATAAAATAGTACCTTACAGGGTGGTTGTTATAAGGATTGAGATATAAGCTAATGAATGTAAAGTACTTAGCATTACTTAACAAATGTTAACTGTCACTTTATCAATAAAGTTAGCTAAAAGGTATTCTATAAAATGGAGATACTGTTTTTATGGACCATATTTTGACTTATTCTGAGGATTAAATGTCTTTATATGATCACGGGACATTTTCTGAAAATTATAAGTGAAGGTAAGATAGCAAAACAATTTTCACTTCTCATTTTTATTTGGTACCTTGAAGAAAAAGGATTCAGGATTCAGTGAGACAATGGGCAGCTTTTCCCCAAGGATGACCAACAGAAAAGCATACTACCTCTTCGACTTAATCTTAGTAAACCAGCATGAAGTACTGAAGATTAGCAAAATAAAGCTATTATAAATGACTTAGAGAATTAAATTTGATACTAAGGAAATGTGTAAATAATTTTGTCAAGTTACCCTAAACTCTCTTGACCAGAAAAGTGGTGAGAAACTATGATGTTTTCACGGCAGCTTACTGAACACAGTTTCCTGGAAGCACTCAGAGAAAGAATAAGCATCTTCTTTTTAGTTTAAGTGCACTTATTATGCCCAGATGTAATAGGACTGACTCTAACAGATGATAGTCTAACCCAATTATTCTATGAAATTCTAAAACAATCTCTCTGAAAGGCTGGCAACCCTGGCTGACAGGCCAAACCTAGCCTACTGTTTGTTCTCATGAATAAAGTTTTACTGAAACACAGCCACACCCATTCATTTATATTGTCTAGTGCTGTTTTAACTACAACAGCAGAAGTGAAAAGTTGCAACAGAGTATGGCCCACCAAGCCTAAATTATTTACTATCTAGCCTTTTGCAGAAAGAATGCTGATCCCTGTTCTAGACAAGCGATCCAAGAAGGCAATAAAACCTGTTAGACTCACCTGAGGTGTAGTCTTTTTGTATTGGTCACCTCCATCTATCACATCCTTCATGATTTTTCCCTTGAGAAATTCATACTCTTCTGGGCTGAGGTGAATAGGCTCTATGGTTCTTCCACAGCCCAAACACTGACCACTGTAATTATGATTGTTTATGTTAAATAATGTCCTAGAAAAGAACTTTCTCTAAAATGAACAATCCCAGGACAGGGGAAAATTGAAAGGTAATAAAAAAGAACATTAAAACCTTTGTGACTATCACATACATCTGATTTTTTATAAATCTGAAAATATCACACATTAGTATGCCAGAAAAGCCAAAAGAGTAGACTGCTGGGCACCCACATGAAATTTTTAAAGTAATTTCAACTGGGTCCTGAATCTCTAAGGCAAAACATTTCTAAGGCTTCACACAGGCTTACAGCACCTATGGGAAAAACATTTTGAGCACTGTGAAGTTTCATATGCAAAATATGGCTTTTTTTCTCAGGTACTCTAAATACAAACTCTTAATTATCCTATCCCTAAGGTGTTCTTAAATATTTTTTTAATCAACAGCAACAAACCTGCATCAGATAAGTTAGAAATAAATATCGGCCTTTACCTTTTTTGAATTGTGGTAAATTGTCCCTTCCATTGTTTTCCAGGAACACTACAAAAAAGATTGCAAAACAAAATCATCAAAGGGTAGATTCCTACTGAGCCAAAAGATATTTACTGTATTTAGAAACTCTGTAAGCAAGAGCTCTGAAAAGTTCAGGATACTTCTCTAGAATGGTTTAATTAAAAGAGTAGTAGCGGGCGGACCCATGGCTCACTTGGGAGAGTGTGGTGCTGATAAGATCAAGGCCACGGGTTCGGATCCCATATAGGGATGGCCAGTTAGCTCACTGGGTTGCGCATAGTGCTGACAACACCAAGTCAAGGGTTAAGATCCCCTTACCGGTCATCTTTAAAAAAAAAAAAAAAAATAGTAGTAGCTACACTGTGATGGGGATAGGGAACAGATGCCAACTCTGGATCCCCTTCTTCCCTTCGGATCTCCTCCTGCAGTCTGATCCTCATCTTCAAGTCTAAATCTACCTTCACTGCAGCTGTACAGAAAGCAGCTGACATTAGTAGTCTAAGCTCTAAACCAAACTCAACTCTAATCTTGTCCATAAAGCTGCCAGAGATTGCTCCTGCTCATAGTAGTTTCTCTCTTCTTTAATACTATCATTTTATATACCACTGTATTCAACTGTATCAACAGGTATCATATTCCCAATTAGGTGGAGAATGTCATCACAACAGATCTTACATCACAAAACAGTGCCTAGCCTAACTGAAGGCATTAAAAAACTATTTATTGATTTATTTGTTCAATCAACTTATCCTTTCCTCTTCTTACATACACATGTATTAACATCAGTTCCTAGTGATCATATTGCTTTCTCTCTTTACCCAGTTCTTAATTCAGGACCTCATCATCTCGCACCCAAACCTAAAGTTGCATCCAAACAAATCTCTCTGTTAATCCCTTTCCAATCTACCCTTCTCATTGTTTTAGCAATTATCTTTCTAAAACTCCACTCCAAAACCAGCATTCTTGACAACAAAATAAAATCCAAACTCCTAAGCATTCAAAGATTTTCACAACCTGGCTCCTCCTCCATTGATACTCAATAAGTTAAAGATCATTAAGCGTAATTGCTACTTCAAAACTTTGTAAACACGATATAAAATTTAAAAAGCAAGAGAAAAACAGAGGGAAGGAATGAATTTTTAGGAAAGAGCCTGAAGCAAATTAATGGTGAAGAAATAAGAGAGTAAAAGACTGCAGCAATAAACAGGTATGTAGCCAGTAACATGAATAAAAGCAAAGGGAAAGCAAAGAAGAGAGCTTTGGGGAGAGAACAGCCAAATGATGGAAAGATCTAAAACAAACTGGAAGGATGAAGATTTTGTATTTTAGCGTTTGCATATCAGGTTTAATCAGGATCCTCCTGTCTGCTCTAACTACTCAAGTTGACGAAATGTAGAGATTAGACAATAAATATAAACACATTATCCCAATTACTAGATTTCAGAGGAACTTTTTTTTTTTTTTTTTTTTTAAAGGATGACCGGTAAGGGGATCTCAACCCTTGGCTTGGTGTTGTCAGCACCAGGCTCAGCCAGTGAGCTAACCGGCCATCCCTACATGGGATCCGAACCCGTGGCCTTGGTGTTATCAGCACCACACTCTCCCGAGTGAGCCACGGGCCGGCCCTCAGAGGAACTTCTGAAAATACTAATATGGCCCAAGAACAACTTCAGTCAAATACTATATCCCTTCTCTACTATAAACTCTTGCCACCAGTACTGTTCATAAGTATACACATCATATCTGATTCCTCAAAAACCAAAATAAATGATCCTTCTAAAAAGAAAAAATGCATAAAAACTGCAAGTGCTCTATAATTTTCTTTTTATGTGATGGATGGATATTAGCACAGACTGTTTTTGCTACTATTTTTCTTAAAGAGAGAAAATTTTGTCTTGAAGGGGAAACAAATCTTACTAAGAGATGGAAAAAAAGTATAATCTGAATGAAATGATTCTCAGCAACCAACTATCAAAAAAAGAGGAGCTACTTTTAGGTACAGTTATAAAACTAGAAACATATATATAAAATTACCTTTCAAACCATGTTTTTATACTATGAGCAAATGACTCTCCAGGATATAGTTGATTATTTCTTAGATACAAAAGAATGTCTAGCAGTTTGTTTGAATAGTGATCATCCTTTATGTCTTTTCCAAAATCAAAGAAGGCTTTTAAAGTTTCCAGCAGTGGAATAAGATCATGACCTAGCAATTCCTGATACAAATGCCACGCTGTGTTTACATCTTGATGAAGGAGGGCTCCCTGGATACAGTCATTATAGTTCTTTTTCGAAGGGGTTATGACTTTTTTGATGTCCTCCAACAGCAACAAGGACTCTCTCCATCTGTCTGAATGACTTAATCCTCGGATGAGAAGACTGTAACCTCCAGATTCCAAACTCTTATATCTGGCTTTCATAATTTCATAGACGTCAATAACTTCTGATGTTTGCTTATGGAAGACACAGAGATATAAATACCTGACCAGTAAATCATAGCCTACAATACCATTGTTTTTTGCTGCTACCCATGCCAGCAGAGATTTAGCCACATCTACAGAGCTATGGCAGCGAGCCATCTGTGAACTGATCCAATTTTCAAAACTGGTCTTTCCTTTGAACTCTTCTTTAAGTTTATCCCACTCCTCTGAATTCAAAGGTTTTGTTGGGACTTGAATAGCGTTCCTCACAGGTGGCAGGGCATGATCTTTACTCTGAGGATTCATCTGAGATCTCTTCTTAGCTGCTCCCGCTGCAAAAAGGTGAGGAAAATCAGAAGAAACTTGCTTATTACTGCCCTCATCTTTCCTGAGATATCTGGCCTTGGTAATCAGCAGATTCCTTGATTTGGTATCTTGTGGACACATTGTTTTAAGAGAAAACCACCTCTGTTGGTTCCTGATGCCACAGTAGACTCTGAGAGAGAGATAAGAAGAGTGCCCTGGGCTTAGCCCAAGGCATGGGTTGCTCTTCCAAAACTTAGGAAGGCTTCGAATACCAGATAAACATAAACTCATTTTGCAGGGAGATCAGCACCAGACAGTGAGACCAATGTTCCAAAAAAACCTCTACTTCTACAGCAAAACTAAGGGATTGGGAGTCAGGGGAAAAGGGTCGTAGCGCAACTTTTTAAAAGGAGATTTTCCGTTTCCCCCTTACAGACAAATCAAGGTTCCGCTTTGGGGGCTACTTAATAGCAACGAAAGTAGGTAAATTCTCTCTACTAAACAACCATCCAGGGATAATCAACATCGGTCGCAAGGCCCAAACCAGGGGACGGAGCAGGAATCCTCCAGTGCCTGTTATATTCCAGTCTGCGAACCTGAGGGAAAAAGCACAAAGAGGAACGCCCAGTTGGACTCACGTGGATCACAACTGTCCTGAAAAGGCGCAGGATCCCATGGGAGCTTTGCTTTAAAAGGAGCGTAAAGGCAAAACTGCGACCGGGAGCCCCAACCTCAGTCTCCCTCCCCTCCACACCCGCCGCCCCCGCCAGCAGCAACGCAGCGGCGAAAGCCGAAGTCTAGAGGCCTGCTTAACAGCTCTTCTCCCAGGCCGCAAAATTTCTCAGATGGAGGGATGGAAAAAGGGGAGGTGGGGGTCAGCCCAGCCGACAACTCAAAGAAGAGAGGTCCAGGAAGGGCACGGTGCACTCATCACCCACAAACGAAGTTCACTTCATTCAACAACTTACCACAGACCTTACGCTTAACGCAACGATGAACGCAGCGGAAACTACAGTGTCCACAATGCACCGCGCAGGCCCCGGCCCTCGGGGACGTGAGTGAACAGGGCGCAGGAGTTTGGATGGGCCCGGCAAAGAAATAAAAAGGCAATTTTGAAGGTTTTAGTAGCACAAGAAGGAAGAGACGGCTGCTGAATCGTCTGCTACATTCAGGGGACCTGTAGGGCTTCTGGGTATCCGCAATGAACAATGGAAAGACTTTGTGAAGGAAGAAAGCGCGTTCCTCAAACCGGAAACGCCAATGGACTCGAGTCACGTGGTGCACACGCGCTGAAGAAGTAAAAGCGCGGGCTTCCTTATCTTGACCTTTACAATCGTTATTAGTGAGGTAGGAACGTTTCCTTAAGGAAGATCATTTTCCATCTCTTTCACGTCTGTTCTGCCCGGTGATCGCCGTATCCTCCACGACAGCCACGGTAAAATCCATTTTTGCCTTTAGCCAAGACTTCCGCCCATGTCCAAGATGGCGGTTGGACGGTCTTCCTAACCTTTACGGGGCTTGGCGGCTTCTGACGTCGGGACTGATAGGGGGTGGAGCGGTTAGTAAACGCAAATGCGGGAGCCGCTGCGTCGGAATCAGCCATGGACTGGAAAGGAGTACTTCGTCGGCGGTTAGCGTCCCCCAACACCGGTGCGAACAGTGAGTCTGGGAGGGGCCGCCTGCTGGGATAGCCCAGCCCTAAACTCCTAGAGGTGGGGGAAGAATGCGGAGGAGGAGCTAGTTGGAGCCGCACTTTGCATTTCTATAAAACCTTCCCTGACAAGGAATGACACATTCCCTGAAGTGGAATGTGTTTTAGGGCCCGAGAGAGGTTTGACCTCGAGCTTCCCTAGGAAAGGATCTGCGGGCACGAAAAGCTTTGCCTCAGCTACTAACTTCCATGCTTTGGATCTAGATTTGCGGGAAATAACGGAGAACCCTGGCTCCAATAATTTTTCGACCTCATTGATCCTACCGCCTTTTTATTGTCTCACTTGTCACTTCTCTCATCCATTTTAGATTTCATAATCCATATTTCCTTGTCTCTTTCCCCCTCTTTCACGCTTGTTAACCAGCCTGGTTAAATCTGCCTTTTCTATTCCACACCCGCACTCAGGTCAGCCGAAAGCGGTTGGAGAAAAACAACCATGGTGAGTTGTCTCACTTTTAATGTATGTCCACTAACCTAAAGTAGGTGTTTTAGTCACGTCTACCGTGACATTCACCCTGCTACGTTCAATTCTTCTCATCTCCCAAACCTTCAATCTGGCTTACCCATTCCTCACGTTCAGCTGATGAACTTGTTTTTTAATGTATAATCTCATTGAGAAAGCAGCAGCAAAGGAGAACCTCACGTGTTCCCTATCGGCCCCCTCCATAGTTTTCCGAACAACTGCCCGTGCTCTTGAGAGTCCCTCTTCTCCAGCACTAGGTAGCATTCCCTTTGTCATATTCATTGACTTCACTCCAGCCTTATCCCCTCTCTCATACATCATCAAATTTTCCTTTTCTACTGTATCATTTCCATCAGCACAGACAAACATGCTGTAATAACCCCCATCTTAAAAAAAAAAAAGTCTTTTGATCCCACTTCCCCCTCCAGCTTCTGCTACATTTCTCTGCACCTTTTATAGGAAAACTATCAACGTTCCCTGTACTTGTGCTTTCTCTGCTTTCCTCTCCCTTTAACTCTGGAACCCACCCCATTCCACTCTTTCACAGATATTGATTGCATACCTGTTATGGACCAAGTACTGTACTGTTGTAGGCTATAACAGTGAACAAAAGATAAAAATCCCTGTCTTCGGAACTTACACTTTAGTGTGGGGAGAGATGATAAAAAAGTATATAAGTAAATTATGTAGGTTATACAGGTCCTGTTTAAGTCTGTTTCCTTCCTCAGTGTATTAGATCCCATCTTTTGTGCTAGTTCCAATTTTTGCCTACTCGAGGATGTCCACTCTCCTGCATCATCAATTTTTCTTTCTTAATCATTCCATCAGCATATGAACATGCTGGCATTTCTCAAACTTTCTTGATTTAATGTCCATCTCTATCTACGCCTCATTTTTCTGTTCCCCTTATAGCAGCACATATTAAAAGAATTGTCGGTTAAATCAGTACTTGTCTCTAATACCTGCTTGTCAAGAATCATCAATGACCTCCATATTGTTAAATCTAGTGGTCAGTTGTCCTCATTTTACTTGTAGACTTTTGCAATTTTCTCCAACAGCACTGAGCCATCGTAAAGAAATTAAATTATAGGTTTGGTCCAAGGCTAAAAGGTAACATGCAGATGTAGCAGGAATGCAGTCATAAAAGGAGTTCTGGGGAACAACTACAAGTTTGTTGGGAAGGTGGTGAGACCACAAACAGGAAAATAAACTTTTGAGCAAATACAGTAAGTCACAGAATTGAAAATCAGGCTGAAGTGCAGGTATTATGGCAAGGAGGTTTTAAGTGACCGCAAAGGATAATCTGAGAGTATATTAGAGTTTAAGATTTCAGAAGGAGAGCAGATAAGATCTGTGGTCTTGCCATAGAACTGAGTGACAAAGTGAAATAGAAGACTTTAGAGTTGCATGGGTCATGGACACCCACATAAATGTTTATTCATTCTGGATGATTGCAGGACCCTGTGATGAGGAACTCTGTGTACCAGTCACCATGTTCCACAAATAAGTGAGGAGGAATAGCTAAACAAGACAGCTGCGTACCAATAGCAAGCAGGTTGGAGGGTAATAAAGCCTTCAGACGGTGTTTTTTTTTTTTTACATTAGGTAGAACAGTGATTATGAGGCTGAAACTTCATAATGTCAGAGGCTGGCCCTGTTTTGCTTATCCCTCCAGCCCCAGAGTACAATGCTCTGTACATAGTATGGTTCAGTAAAAATTCTTGTGTATGTTAGGAACACTCCAGAGGTCTGAAGAAGAGACAATGACTTGAGGAATAGACAAGCTTTAGTGCTAAACAGAAGTAGTGGGAGCATGTTGAGAAGTGGTCGAAGATGTAGGGGAAGCTGTTTCAGTGGAATGTAATGATTCTTGGCATTTCAGGAAAGTTAATATGATGTTCAGTGTCCAAGCATGATTGTGAAGGCCTTTTTGGCCCTGCAACTATTTTAATTAGACTATATGGTATGTAGGATGACATGAGTAAAAGCATTGCTTGATTTTAAGTGTGCTTTTCTCCCCTAATATGTTTTGTTACCAGAAAAAAAAAATGAGCAAGAATTAAAAGATGAAGAAATGGATTTATTTACCAAATACTACTCAGAATGGAAAGGAGGTGGAAAAAACTCAAATGAATTCTATAAGACCATTCCACGGTTTTATTATAGGGTAAGTGGTATCTAAGCAAATGTCTCACACAATTTATAAGTGAAAGTAATTTTTTTTTAAACTGGGAACCATTTTATTTTTTATATTTTTATTTTAATTTTTATTTATTATTAGCATATTCATTTTTATAAATCCTGGTATTTCTTTATGCCCTTTGCCCGACCTATCACTTCCCAAACCTCCTTGCCCCCCATCTCTAGTATCCTTAAGTTTGTTCTCTCCTTCTGAAAGTTCAACGTATTGTTGTGGTCTTTTCCTTCTTTCCTTCATTCCTTCTTTCTTCCCTCCTTCCCTCCTGCCAAGTGAAAAATAATTTTTAAAATGCGCTCAGAATTTTATATTTTAAAAATAGAGGGTTATATTTTAAATTTTGTATATTCTTTCATTCTAGTTGATCTTATCACTGTTATGAAACTTTTTACACCCAGTAAAATCTTTAGTTTTGATACAAATTGGTATAAGAACACAAAGTTGTCACTTGCACCCTTTTTTTTTTTGAACTACGGGCTTTTTTTCTTCCTAATTTTTATTATAGATATCAATAGTAAGTATTCTATTGGGTTATGCTGTCAAGTGTATGACAGTTTGTTATCAGGTCTAAAAATTTTGCTCAAGGCTAAACTGAAAAATACATTGAGAATAGATAACCAAGGAGTTTCACTTAATTACAGACCGTCCCTAACTTATGATGGTTCAATTTAGGATTTTTCAACTTTATGGTGATCTTAAAGCAATGCACATTCAGTAGAAACCGTACTCAAGTACCCATGAGACCGTTCTGTGTTTCACTTTCTTTTTTTTTTTTTAAAGATGACTGGTAAGGGGATCTTAACCCTTGACTTGGTGTTGTCAGCACCACACTCACCCAGTGAGCTAACCGGCCATCCCTATATGGGATCTGAACCGGTGGCCTTGGTGTTATCAGCACCACACTCTCCCGAGTGAGCCACGGGCCGGCCCGTGTTTCACTTTCAATACAGTGTTCAATAAATTACATGAGATATTTAACACTTTATTATTAAACAGGCTTTGTGTTAGATGATTTTGCCCAACCATAGGCTAATGTAAGTATTCTGAGCACATTTAACGTTGGCTAGCCTAAGCGATGATATTTGGTAAGTTAGGTACATTAAATGTATTTTCGACTTATGATATTGACAGCTAATGATAGGTTTATCAGGACATAATCCCATCATAAGTCAAGGAACATATGTTTCCTTTTGCCAAAACTCAAAAGAAGTCTTTGAAGGGCAATATGGACAAAACAGTAAGACTGTAACAAAGCTATTTACATTTGAAGGTGTAAATAGGTCTTATTCTTCTAGTAAGAAGAATAAGACCTATTTAGTATTCTGCAAAATGAACCCACTACAGAAAAGTTAGCTTTGATATCTTAGCTGGATGTCTCTTGAGCCTGTTATCATCTAAACTTAATTAATTCTACCATTATTTTGCAAATAGTAAACATTTAGCTAGCATGCTTAGGGATTGAGATATTAATACGTAAGCCAGATATTGAAATATTTCTCCAAGTACAAATTTTTTTCATGTGAACATTTTTATCGGAAACTTTCCTGTAATTCTATATGCTTCCCAGCCTTTTAAGAATTATATGACTAATTTATATTTGTTGTAGAAAAGAGAGAAAATACAGCTAAACAAGCTGATATTTTCCTATAATAATATAAAACAGAGACATAAATAAAAAATTTTACATGAATCCTTCTAAATATTTCTGTGGGCATGTGTGTGTGTTTTTAACAAAAATGAGATCCATCATACTTTTCCTGCTTTTTGCAGTTCACATTTTTAAACAGAGGCAACTGGACAACTGAGTATTTTTGATGTCCTAGGGGAGAGGAAAGGGAATTTAGATTTTTTTGAGTGCCTGAGTACTGTGTAGCACCTTATACACATTATCTTATATAACCTGGATTATCATAGTATTTTGCTAATGCAGGAAAAGCCCTTCGGTAGGAATGATGTGATCCCATTCCTGAGCCCAGGACTAGACTTTCTTGTACTCCCAGGACCAAACCTTTGCCTTTCCCTTCTGATTCCTGAGGGAATCCTGTTTTTCCTTTCTCTTCTCTCTCTGACCACATCCAGATTGCTGATGGTTTCCTGTCTGCAGCTGTGGACTTGGGAAAAGTTTTTTCCCTTCTTTCTTCTTTCTCTCCATGGTCCCATGCTTCAGAGAAACTACCTGTCATCTTCAATAGCCATTTCTCTCCTTGGCTGATTAGCTGATTAACTAGCACAGTCTCAGTCTTAGCCCCAACTTCAGTCCCACCTCCACCTCCTAATGTTTCTGCTTTCTCCATTTCTTTTGATGGGAGGGATGGTGTCTTAGTTATTGGAAATGAAAGGTTAAAACCATAACCCCCAATTTGGACTAAGAGCTATTGAGGTACATTTAATGGGGCCAAGATAGAAAAAAGTAAGGAGAAATCCTTAAAGCAGATTGTTCTAAGTCAAGATGCAATGAGTCATTTTAAAGCCTTGCTTATGGTTATTTCATAATCAGAGCTTTAAAATGACTCACTCCAGTGACTCATGGCAAACCCTCTTCCTTAGACGCCGACATAATAGACACTGGCTTGACCATCTCTAAGAAGGAAGGTGATCCAGTCTCAAAAGGGGTGCCTCTAAGATGGTAGATCTTCATCGAGTAATTTAATTCTTTTTTTTTTTTTTTTTTTTTTTTAAAAGATGACCGGTAAGGGGATCTTAACCCTGGACTTGGTGTTGTCAGCACCACGCTCAGCCAGTGAGCGAACCGGCCATCCCTATATGGGATCTGAACCCATGGCCTTGGTGTTATCAGCACCGCACTCTACCGAGTGAGCCACGGG